ACAATGTAAGTTTTAATACCAGATTTACTGACCTTGTACCGAAGGAATGGAAAGTATTAGAAAGTTACTGCCGCAGCAAAGGTGTTAAGGGAGGCCTATGTTCAGCAGTGAACATCCTGTGGCTGAAATGATGATGATGATGAACGGTTTTTCCATTACAGTGTGATTGCGTCACTCGAGCACCTTTGTCCAAATTCAAACTGTACGGGAACCTTCACTTTAAGAAAATAAAGGTGAGTTTCGGCAGAGTAAATATAAATGAGTAGGTCATCTTCATAGAAACGCACCGAGCGCGGTTTGTATGTAAGCGCAACCACGACTGGCTCACCGCTAATCACCGCTAAATTTTGTCAGTGTGTGCATGAGCGCCGTATACGTGTTGGCGCGCTTACATACAAACCGCGCCCGTGCGTTTCAATGAAGATGACCTACTCATTTGTATTTACTCTGGTTTCGGTACGCGAACCGAAATCTGAGCGCTGAGTGTGAGTTTACATTAAAATGGTCACTAGTGAGCGCGTAAAAAATGATATTAAAAAATGTATGACGGATTGTAGGTACAGCGCCCCTAGCGGAAACGTTCAAGAACTAAAATTTTCATAGATTTTTTTAACGCGCTTTCTAGTGAGGACGTTTGATGACACTCTCCATTGCATCAGTTATTCGACACACATTCTCTGCTTTGCACCGCTTTGGTGGAAATCGGGCCTTAGGCCCATCTATCTCCAGTGTCAGAGTGACGTGCTAATTTTGGAACACCCTGTATGGAACGAGGACATTTTTAATCACATTGTTTTTGTTGATTTGGTGTTTAAATTAATAAAACATTGAAGGTGGGCCCAGTTGCTGGAAGAAAAAAATATTTAAAAGTCAAACCGGTGAGTTGGCCCGTGGACCAAGCTAAAAGTGGGCCAAGTCGCTGAAAGACTCCCAGTGTGACGTGCTAATTTTGGGACACCTTATGGAACAAACGGGACTATTCCTACCTCTCGTTCCCACCACTGCAACTCCTGTGTAGCCAGGATCTACAGCTTGACCGCCGTAAAAACCCAACCAGTGAAGGTCAAGTTTGTCCCGGGGAAAGTTAAACTGTCATTGGACCCGCAACGAAACGAAAACAAAACGAAATCAGTAGAAACCCTTTACGGAATAGGGAGGGGACATTATAATGACATTTTTGACTTTGACTTTGATGGTTTTATACTCCTTTTTGCAGGTGGTGCCTCCACGGTACGTGACGACTACCACGGAAGAGACATCGACACTGTGCCCCCCCTGCGAGGTGTGCCCAGTTTGTAATACATAGATAAAGCTTTAAATAATTATACAAAATGAAAAATTTGTTTGTTGCTAGTTTTATTTTCGGCGTTCTTCATACTAAAGGATGAAGTACACTTAAGAGCCCGGAAACGGACCGTAATCGTATCATATCGAGGCATATTCTGTTGTGAAATTCCGTACAGCGACGCACACTTATTCGCAGTGATACGTAAACGCCTCGCCTCGCGGGAAACGGCCATACGTAGTAAGGTCGGGTGGTCACCATTGTACGTTCGTTCGTTTCAGCCAAATAACGTCTACTGTTGGAGAAAGGCCTCCCCTAAGGCTGGTCTGACCGGTCCTGCGCTGTTCGCATCCAAGTTCTTCCCGCGACCTTCACCAGATCGTTGGTCAACCTAGTGGGAGGCCTGCCCACGCTACGTCTTAAATTTTCATAATGATTGACAGCCCGACCGACCCAACAATCGGCAGACTAATGCCCGTTTTCACCATCAAGAATCCCTAATTTTTGAGTGACCCCTAGGAAAACAAAATTCCTGTTATTTGTTACCATAGGGGTCACTTAAAAATTAAGGATTGGTGGTGAAAACGGGCATAAAAGTCTGTATCTACGGGGTGTCTTAACCGCCAACCTATATCAAAAGCGATGCGTCCCATAGCTTGGCGCCTGGAACAATGATAGAATCTGAATATTCTACTCACCACAATAAAGATGAAGCCAAACCTTTACATAGGGGGGGCATGGTCTTGGTGGTAATTGCTGACGTAGTGAGGTCAGCATTGCCTACAAAATGCCAATAAACCATCTGCTGTGTTAAGTAGTGAAACACCGATGTAGCAGAACCCCGGCCAGTCCACGTCATCCACGTCCTCGTCGTCCACCCTGGGACCTGCTGCAGCCACGCTCTGTGTGCCCACTACCTAGACTTGCAGCTGAGCTGAGGATGCAGGGCGAAAGGCGAGTATTCTGCGCCTGAAAACAGAATCCCATCACTAGGGAGGATACCCGGAAAAAACCGAGCGAGTCCAGAAGCTCTGAGGTGGCAGCCCCACCACCGGACTAGGGTACAGCAGGTTAATCACGCACTTGCCCGAAAATACTCGATTAACGAAACGAACACATCAGAAAACCGGACTGTTGTGGACGCTCTCTGCCTCATCTAGGGGACATAGGACCATAAGTCAAAGTAAGTCAAACCTGTACATGATACATAATTTATTATTAAAACTACAGACATAACTATAAAATTCTAACTACAGCGAACTTCTAGAGTCTTTAGTAATCTTCATACTTTTCAGATAATCGGATTCGTTATTAGAAGAATACACAGACGCGTGTGACATATGGATCAGCTCCACGTCTAAATTGGTACTGGACTTCTTGACACCAGGGTCTGAAGACGGCCCGTGCTTTGATTTTCTATGCAGCAACGAAAGGACATTCTTCACGACATTATTCTTAGACGTCTTACTCGAAACCTCCGAAGATACTGATGCAGCTTTGCCCTCAATCGATTGGCTGGAAAACGAATATTTGGACAGATCTTCACCAGCCAGAAATATAAGACCGCGTTCCGACAAAAAATCGTCGATTGAGTCGTTCGAAAAAGCCGCCTGAGCACCTCTTTCTATAGACGGAACTGTACCTTTTTTGCTTTTGTCCGATCTGAAGATTCCTAGTTTTTTACTGTGCGTACTTGGTTTGAAGCCTGTCAAATTTGAATTGGCGTCCATGTTGTAGTTGTAGCTGTGACATTTTATTTCCTTCTCCGACGTTTCTCCCTGCATTTCGTCGTAGTCTTTCCCTTCCCTTCTCTCTCTGAGTCTACTATCTATCTTCCTAACTATACTTTTAACTATATGCCTCTTTTCTGGTTTAGGTTTGTGAGGTTTTTCATTTTCGAAATTGACTTTCGCACTGCTCTGCTTCCTTGATTGACTGCTAGAGTTTTGGTAAGATGGTTCCCGAATAGATTCTATTGTATCATGTCTGTTTAGCTTTTCGTCTTCAGTAGTTATTTCTGGAATAGCTTCAGACTTCGCTGGCTTACTACTCCAGTCTCGCCTGGTCAGGCATTTCGATAGAATGTCATCAGACATGCTCATCTTAACGTTGTTTTTCCTCTCTTTCTGACATGCTTTGTAGCATTTGATTTTTTTGTCTATATTCGAGGATTCGCTGAAATATTGGAACTCTGTAGTTTCTGTATCGATGTTACTGGTGCAAATCAATGGAGTAGTTACTGATGCATCTTGGCGGTAGTTGAAGAACTTCCTAATGACCTTCTTCTTGTGGCAGCCACCACATTTCTTTGATAAGCAGTAAATCATCATGCAAATCAAGAAACATTGTATTGAAATGACTACACCGAACGCTATAAGTGTCAGTCTATTCGTGATGAAGTATTTGGTCATTAAAAACTTCAGACCCTTTTTCTTAATAGCTTCAAGTTTAGATGGGTCATACCTCAACTCAAAATCTTCGTTTGCCAGTTGAGAAATCTTCGAGAGAGCATCTTGAGATTTGTACAACTGTTTAAACGTATAATTCATAGGAACAGCTGGATTTTGACTTTTAGTGTTTTTGATAATAAGAATATCTTTAGGTTTTCTTTCTTTATGGCTGGTTAGTTCTTTTATTAATTCAAGATCTTTACTTGAAACAGCTTTTCCATAAATGCATTTATTCTTCTTCAAATCTAAAATGACGTTTGGCACTTCATCTTTGGAATCAGATACACAGCTTGGAACGTCTGTACACCTCTTCGTTTTGTTATCAAAATACGGTCGTTTTCCATTGTAATAAGATTCGCAATCGACTGGTTTGCAATCGTTGAGTGGGTCTTCGTCTATTCGCTTACAAAGCGTCACATTATCCGGTACCTCCATTGCCTGCTTTATGTTCTTCAGTCGTGTATCAAAAGATATTTTGACTGTATCACGCATAGTCCCTCTCTGCCTGTTCTTAGGCTTGGAATCGAGATAGACGATACAATGTCCTTTTCTTTCGAATAGGTCAATTAACGGTGCTACTAACTTCAATGTTTTGGTTGTACCTTGAAAAGAAATAAAAGCAGTTTCAAGATTACATCGATTTGGAGATGAATTTGTTGAAATAAATGCGTAAATAAAATTAAAACTACAAGATAAAGTTCATGCTGAAATGGCGTCTGCTCAAATTTTGATAGGGAGGGACATATTAAATACTGAATTTTTAAGTCTTGAAGAGGAGTAACGCCCGTATTCACAAACATTACTATGAGGTCTCTCAGTGCGCGACGCACAGGGTGACACACGAACCAATCACAGAGCTATATTTAACGCTGTACGTTCGATTGGCTGCGCACTTACTTAAAGCAAGCATTATTTGTGAATACGGGTGATAGAAGATAGAGAACAAAAAATAATAACATAGAACTATAAACTGAATTCCTAAAGATGTCTGGCAAAGATCGTTTCTGTGCCTAAATTGCGCCATTCCAAGTTTCCCATTGTAGTAACTGATTGTGTTTTATCAGCTTTCATGTGATGTTCACTAAAACTATCTCTCTATCTGATCTATTATGTTAGTGGCCATCAAGTTGTAGATCCTGGCTACACAGGAGTTGCATTCTACGGGACTACTCCCACCTCTCGTTCCCACCGCTGCAACTCCTGTGTAGCCAGGTAATACAGCTTGACCGCCAATAACCCAACCAGCGAGACCAACCAAGAATGGTGGGGCGCGTCTTCCTGGATGAAACGATCTATACCTAAGGCAAGAAAATAAGCACGTATGTACCTCCAGGGATACGGGACTATTCCCACCTCTCGTTCCCACCGCTGCAACTCCTGTGTAGCCAGGATCTACAGCTTGACCGCCAATAACCCAACCAGTGAAGGCCAAGTTTGTCCCGGGGGAAAGTTAAACTGTCATTGGACCCGCAACGAAATTAATCAGAAGAACATAGGAGGAGTTCGAAATTAAGGTGCGACTTCCCTCCATTGCAAAGCGGATGACAGGTGACAAACAAAGGTTTAAAACCTGTACCTCCAGGGACAGTCTCCACACAGTCTCCGATCATTTCCACCACTTCACAGTCTTCTTCCGACTCCGTATCCAAACAGCACTGGTCCGGAGTCATCTCTATATTGAAATCCTCATCAGCAGTATTGTTGACATCAGCAAAAAACACCAAACCAGCCGCGCAAGGAGAAATGTTTTCAACCCCTTTATTTTCAACTATCAAATCTTTGTTGCCGTTTGTGGATAACTCTTCAAAATGCATAAAAAAAGTCATAATACATAAAAAATATTTGTAAAAAGACATCTGGGTAAGTTGGTACAAATGACATGATTTGTCAATGATGACGCGATGAATGATCTTTGGGATCAGTCTTTGGGAATATCTATGGTTTATAGTTTGTGGACGTTCAAACCTCTATGGTTCTGTGATTCTCAAACTTTTCGGCGATGCAACCCCCATCGAAACTTTAAACTTTTTTTATAGTTCTATTGCAACTCAGTCAGTGCCTGAGGTAGGGAACGGCACGAGAGGGGTGACATTGGCATATTATGACGTGACAGAGCATACAAATACAGATGACCTAAAATGAACTGTCGTACCAAACTCATTGACAGAGGGGCGCCACCATCGTTCAACTGTATAGTTTCCAACATGGCAAAAATCGGAACCAGCGATCCGGTATTGACTGTGGCGCCCCACTGTCAATGTCATCGACAGGACAGTTCAGTATTTTGGAACTATAGATGACATAAAATGAACTGTCGTACCAAACTCAATGACAGGGGGCGCTACCATCGTTCAACTATAATTATGGTTTCAACATGGCAAAAATCGGAACCAGCGATCCGGTATTGACGGTGGCGCCCCACTGTCAATGTCATGGATAGGACAGTTCAGTATTTTGGAACTATATGGAAGCGGCACGGGAGAAGTAGAGAGCATACAAATATAGATGAGCTAAACTAAACTGTCCCACCAAACAGGGCAGATATGTACCATCCTAGACTGCATCTCACTTAACACCAGGTGCGATTGCGGTCAAATACCTGCCTTGTCTAGCATAAAAAAAATACTCATTGACAGAGGGGCGCCACCATCGTTCAACTGTGTAGTTTCCAACATGGCAAAAATCGGAACCAGCGATCCGGTATTGACGGTGGCGCCCCGCTGTTAATGTCACGGATAGGACAGTTCAATAAATTGAGTCTATATCAGGGGTGGCCAGCTTGATTAGACATAAGATCTACATCTACACTTACATACTTCTTGAAATCTTAAATGGAACAGCATAGTTTAGACCTATAGCCTCAAAATATATTTTTGGAGAATATTATTTTACTTTTAAAACTGTTTTAAACGTTAAAAAAAACAACATCTGCAATACACATTTTTATTAATGTATCATAAATAAAAAATAATTATAAAATGGCATCTAAATTATTACTAATACAACTGAGCAAATCCTTTATTATTTATCACATATTGGTTTAATAAAAAAATCCAATCACCTATAAAACCTACGCTAGCGCCACTAGTGTCAGTTTTGGGAAACTATTTATTTTATTTGTTTAATTATTTATTCATTTATTGCACATAAATAGGTAGGTACGTAATATACAGTGTGTCCGGGCATGTAGTGATCAAACTTTAAGGGCGTAATCTATGGACAATTTTATCGATGAAAATACTTCAAATTTGGGGCCTGACCCATTTCTCGAAAAATTACATCGATTTAAGTTTTTATTTTTTAGTTTACACCTCTTCATTAAAAAACAAGTGAAAGCGTGGGTAGCTTAACATTAATAGGCAAATATTTTATATCATGCGATAGCCAATAAAATTATCTATTAGTAGAAGAAGAAAGCAGACACAAGTTTCATACATTTTATGGGAGTAAGAATGGATTTAATTAGAAAAATACATTACTTTTTTCACTTCTTTTTCAGTTATTTTCCAACACAAGAAAAACCAGGTCGTTAAGGTATGTTTTATTTGCATTGTATTTTTTTGTAGAATAGCTCAAATACTAAAAATACAATGCAAATAAAACATACCTTAACGACCTGGTTTTTCTTGTGTTGGAAAATAACTGAAAAAGAAGTGAAAAAAGTAATGTATTTTTCTAATTAAATCCATTCTTACTCCCATAAAATGTATAAAACTTGTGTCTGCTTTCTTCTTCTACTAATAGATAATTTTATTGGCTATCGCATGATATAAAATATTTGCCTATTAATGTTAAGCTACTCACGCTTTCACTTGTTTTTTAAAGAAGAGGTGTAAACTAAAAATTAAAAACTTAAATCGATGTAATTTTTCGAGAAATGGGTCAAGCCCCAAATTTAAAGTATTTTCATCGATAAAATTGTCCATAGATTACGCCCTTAAAGTTTGATCACTACGTGCCCGGACACACTGTATTATTAGGTACTATGTACTAACTACACTCAAAGTATCAACGATTTAAAATTAGTGGCGCTAGGATAGAAAATTGTTTTATTTATTATAATAAATTCACACATTAATGTTTTACAATTACTTAAATATTAAAGCATGTACAAACATGAGTCACCTTAGAGAGTTAAAAAAATATAAATAGATTGAAAATAAGTAGCTAAAACTGTTATTTTGTAATAAAATTGTTCATAACTACCAACAAAAGTACTACAACCTTATCGAATAAGTAAGTACTAAAGTCTAAAGCCCGGTATGTGAGCACGTATAATTTTGTCCAATGACCCTGCGACGGGCGGCCGCAGTTAGTGTGCGAGCCCTTTGTATTATAGTACAAAGTCGAACTAAAGTTAAAATAAATTAAATACAAAGATTTAAAAAATACAAAAAAATATTGAGCCTCTTTTATAAAAGAAAGCACAGTTTAAAAACAAGTGACGTATGGGTACAGACTTATTTACATCGATTGCAAAATTATATTAATTTAAATCTTGTACTAACGACATAAAGTTCAAAGTCCAACGTGAAAAGTTGTCATTTCTTGAAAAAAATGTGGTCTCTGGTTCTCAAACTTCAAAGAATTGCCCCCAGAGGGCTTTAAGGAGTTCTTGAATATTTAACTTATATCTATCTTTTAGTTCAGGCAGAAAAAAACTGCATTAGAAAGTTTGGGATTACAAATTGTAGCCCTATAGCAAACATTTTAAACACAATAAAGTATATTTTTAGCCCTGTACACACTGTTTATTGCAATTAACAAAATTATCAATTGAATTTAAATACAACAGACCCTAAAACTGATTCAATAGTCTTCAAACATTACCTTAAAACTTATGACAAAATTAGAGAACTAAACTGAACATATAACTTAAAACCCCCCATAACAACCTTAAAACTCCTAATGATAATAGACAGCAGAAGGTGTAATGCAAGTAACGTAGCCTAGTATGTTTCGTGACACTTTTGGGAACAGTGTCCAGAGGATCTTTTAGGAGGTACACCCTGATACCTCTGACGTAGCTGTAGAAATAATCGTTCCAGTTCAAATTCGACATATCGAAGTCGAAAAGGCGTTTGTCTGCGTCGCATAGCTCGCTGAACAGATTCTGAGTGTTGCGGTTGTAGAATTTCCACTGTTTTAGCGCGAAGTAAGCGAGCACTTCGGAGAATTTCGATATTTTCGTGTAGGCTTTTCTTAACCTGGAATAAAGAAAACTTTCAAATAATAATAATTTATTCACATGACCATAATCATCATCATCATCATCTCAGCCATAGGACGTCCACTGCTGAACATAGGCCTCCCCCAATGCTTTCCATGTTGCCCGGTTGGTAGCGGCCTGCTATGATCATTGACCATAATTATTATACTAATATTATAAATGCGAAAATAACTCTGTCTTTCTGTCTGTGTCGCTTTCACGCCTAAACCACTGAACCGATTTTGATATTTGGCAAAGAGATAGTATGAGTCTCGGGAAAAGATATAGGATAGTTTTTATCCCATTTTTTGAAATAGGGACGCGCGCTATCAAGTTTTTCTGTCACATACAAAATTCGAAAAGTATCTAGTTAAAAATAATGTTTACAAATCGTCAAATATTACAATAAGAAATTGAAACAGAGGGGTTGCGTATAGTTTGAGAAACAGTTGCTTATGAAGGCATGGTAGAAAATTCGTTTTCTGTAGTTGTGATAATAATATAGTTCCAAAATACTGAACTGTCCTATCCATGACATTGACAGTGGGGCGCCACCGTCAATACTGGATCGCTAGTTCCGATGTTTGCCATGTTGGAAACCATATAGTTGAACGATGGTAGCGCCCCACTGTCATTGAGTTTGGCGGGACAGTTCAGCGTGGGTCATCTATATAGGGGTTATTTTTAACAAAAAATAACCTGTAATTATCATCCTATGTCCCGGTGACTGTAACTATAGATCTAGTGTTTAAGAGCGTTTACGCCGTTTGGGGTAAAAACAGTACTTTTTCAACTCGTTACAATCATTAACCAGTAATACTACAAATATGTTATAGGCATAGGCATAAATAGTTAGGCAATTTCGTTGTCTAAATAGTTAATTGAGAAAATATTGCGATTAGTTTAGTATTTAAGAATTCTATCAAGATAAGTCCACACAGGTTTTGTAAATTTCCACTTTAGCGTCAGTTTACAAGCTGAAATTTTTATAAAAATACTGTGAAAACGATTTAACAAACATTTATATCCTATAGCATAGATCCTTGGGCAAATAGTTATCTGAGAAAATTTTTAGATTTAAGCATTTTACAATAAGAAATCACAAATGAAAAGAACGTGAAATACCCAAAAATCAAAGTGATTTTTTCACCAATATTCTTCCTTTATTCAACATAATAATAGCTTAATATAATAAAACAACATCTTCTTTAAAATATTTACTTTGAAACGATATTTAATTCATTGTTATTGTTTTGCTATAAACATTTGAAAACTATTAAAAAACGCCGCGCGCGAATCATTTCCAATGATGCCCCTTGAAACGCCGCGCTTCGCGTAAACGCTCTTTGAGGTATGGGAGTGGCACGGGAGGGTAAGTTTTGAGACGTCAAATTTCAGATTTTTATGATAAGTTATGTTACGTCAATTGTTATACTATTGTACAGACCTATAGTTGTTATTTAAAGTTAAAAACAAGCTCCATGTAAGCCATCTGACTGTGAGTCTAGCAGTTGAATACGACCAGTCTCCATTTTTCTGAATATTATGCGGCTAAGGTACAAAGTAGGCGAACATCAGGCCTCCCCAACCCGTCTGGCCAGCGTGGGGAGGGTAGGACAAATTTTCCATTTAAGTATTTATGCTTCAGGTAAAGCAGATAGTGCAGCCCGTTACCAACCGGGCGATATAAAAATCATTAGGGGAGACCTATGTTCAGCGGTGGACGTCCTGTGGCAGAAATGATGATGATGAAGAGAGTATCGAGTTCTTGACTAAGTACTAAGACTAATGCCCGTTTTCACCATCTATCCCTAATTTTGAAGTGACCCCTATGTAAACAAAATTCCTGTTATTTGTTACCATAGGGGTCACTTAAAAATTAGGGGTTGATGGTGAAAACGGGCATTAGTCTTACCCCTTAAGCATTACCCCTATGGTAACACATAACAGGAATGGTGATTTCATAGGGGTCACTTAAAAATTTGGGATTGAAAACGGGCATAAGTGATGAAAGAAGATACTCACATAGGCTTCTTCCCAATAAGCATAGCGATTCCGTCGATGATGTACGCCGGTAGCCAATGCAGAAAGAAGCAGTACATCGTGTAGAGCCACCTTGAAGCAGTCAGCTTGAACAGGTAGTAGTACACGGCTTGACTCGGTGGCACGTCGAGACCGTTCGTCTCTGTGTACGACATGAACTTCTCTGTAACAAAATAAGTTTTATTAGAATCGTTAGCCGTGTGGTGACGGCAGAGTAGAATACATTTGTCACCAACCCCTACTCTTCCCGCGGGTGTCGTAAGAGGCGACTTAGGTACTACACATCAAACAGAGAACGGGCAGCAGCGCTTTCTAAAAAACATCAATCTTTTAAACTGCGATCTCCAACCCGCCTGCCAAGCGTGGGGATTATGGCAAAACCCTCTACTATAGTGGAGGAGGCTCATAGTCCAGCAGTGGACTGTAAAGGGCTGTTGATGATGAATCGCTACTTCTTCTTGTCGACCGACAACAAACCTACACAGCGTCCAGCCCAAAACTCAAACAAGAATGGCGTACCTACTCAGTACCCTTAAATAAATTTTCCTGCGTGCAGTTGTTTGTTTGTTGTTTGTTGTGCAGAATCCCTACTAATAATTATTATAAATTAATGCGAAAGTAGGTAACTATATCTGTCTGTGTGGCTTTCACGCCTAAACCACTGAACCGATTTTGATGAAATTTGACATAGAGATAGTTTGAGTCGGAAAAGAATATAGGATAGTTTTTATCCCGGTTTTTGAAACAGGCACGCGCGCGATAAAGGTTCATCCAGTGTCTAAGTAGCTCAGTTGTAAGAGCAGTCGCCCGGCAAGCAGAAGGTCGTGGGTTCGAGTCCCGCCTTAGGCCGTATACAGAAAGAAAGCTGGAAGGTTATAAGCGCTTGTCCCTTCATTCACAAAGGAAGCAAGTTGAATGGCATTTTTCTATGGCAGCGTCCAGCACTGACCAGCGCGTGTTGAAACTTGTCGGCGCCGTTCTACGCTTATCGGCGCGCGTTCATATACTTAATTATTTTCCTGCGCGGGTTACCAGCGCTGTCAAGCACCGGTAAGCGCTTATAAAAGACAATGCCGGAAATTGGCGTATTTTTTTTCGCGCGGCCATCGACCAAACCTTGTTTTTTGATAACAAAATAGTGTAGGTAATAAACCAAACTTACTGTGACATGTACAAATATTACACTATTTTTTTTTATTGCGCTGATTCTGCTCCACACTTATGTCTGGAGCCTATAATGGATGGTATTGTTTGTTTACACATACAATGTCACTATTTTGTTGCAATTTCTTACAAAACTTGCGCGCAAAAAGCAAATCTAGTATGTAAAATCATTAAACTTCTAATGCTCGTAACTCAGTTCAGACTGAGTTTAGAGGTATACATGTCACAGTAAGTTTGGTTTATTACACTATTTTGTAATCAAAAAACAAAGTTTGGTCGATGGCCGCGCGAAAAAAAAAGACGCCACCTTCCATACTAAATCTGGCATTGCCATTCCAGCTTTCTTTCTGTATATGGCCTTAGGCACTTCGATTATTTCAACTTGTTTATTTAAAAATAAGTTTACATACCCCATGTCAGTGGATTCTGTTCAGACGATACGTAGTTATACACAGGCGGCGGGAGATCCTGTGGTGGCGCATCTTCATGGTTCCCAGGGTACTCTTTAGCCGTCTTCCAGGCAGTTGCAATGCAGGCGTTGACCACCATGTCCCCTGGAACCAAGTCGGCGATCGCTTTGGGATCGCAGTGGAGCGCGTGGAGGAGGCCTATGGCTGCTCCTACTACCACCTGGAATAGAGGTTTAAATGGTTACTTAAGTATCATCATATGCTCATAAGATAGGCCCCCATAATTGATATTTATTGTCCGTGGTGCATATGTTATTAAACCTTTGTTTCCTGTCATCTCCGCTTTGCAATGGAGGGAAGTCGAACCTTAATTTCGAACTCCTCCCATGTTCTTCTGATTAATTTTGTTGCGGGTCCAATGACAGCTTAACTTTCCCCCGGGACAAACTTGACCTTCACTGGTTGGGTTGTTGGCGGTCAAGCTGTAGATCCTGGCTACACAGGAGTTGCAGCGGTGGGAACTAGAGGTGGGAATAGTCCCGTTTTGTCATGTTTTTAGGTTTCATTACTATTATAATAATGTTATACTTACACCAGTAGGTCCGTAAACGTTGTCGATCCACCCAGTCACAGGTTCTTTCACTGTTGCAATAACTGTAAAAAGAAAAATTAAGCCATAGCGTCAAAAAGCACCAATCACTCTATCTATGGGGGAATAGTAGAGTTTGTATCCAGACTTCTAAGTGATGATGATGATGATAATAATGACAGCGTCAATGATAAAATAATACATAATAACGCGAAAGAAATAAGTAACTACACTCGACATCAAATAAATCGCACCTCCCGCGACAAACACTTTCAAAAAACAAAAAAAAAAGATAGGGTCCTTCGTCCGTATTCATAAACTTTACTATGAGGTCTCACAGTGCACGTGGACGCAAAGGGTGACACACGAATCAATCACAAAGCTTTATTCAACGCTGTGCATTCGATTTGCTGCTTCACTTAAGCAAGCATCGTTTGTGAATACTGGCCTTTGAGTTTTTGACCAGGGGTGTCTTCACAGAGATCGTTCACAAAAATAATGATGACGATGATGATGATGAAAAAGTCCTTACCAATAGCGGGTCTGAAGACTGCTACGGGCAGTCCCTTGGAGTATTCCATGATTATATTTTCTGCCACTGATTTGGTGTACGCGTACGTGTTTGGGAAGTCACCAAGTAACCTGAGAACAATTTGAAATTATTGCGAAATTGGATAAATAATGGAAAAAGTTACAAAAACTTTTTGTCAGCACCAGCCTATATTAAAATATTTTGTCCCGAAGTGGTGATAGGGCAACGGGAATATTCCCAAATCGTTCCCCCCGCTGCAACTCCTGTGTAGCCAGGATCTACAGCTTGTCCGCCAATAACCCAACCAGTGAGGGTCAAGTTTGTCCCGGGGGAAAGTTAAACTGCGGTATCATAAGTATTTATTAGAATAATTCCTTAGTCATGCATACTCAATAGAACATTACTACTTCAAATATTTTTATAAGTTTTATTCATTTAAATAACCCTTGAACTCTGATCAAGCAAGTCTAAGTTGACTTGATTAATTTGAATAAAATAAATAGGTCTTCTTTAATATGGTAATTTATTCTACATCCTGATCTACGCGCTTAATGACATAATAATTTTGTATTAAAATTATAGGTAGGTAAACTTGTTGGTTTGTTATTATACCTATTTAGACGGCAACAGTAGCCCAAAGTTGTTAGTGTCGGTCTGCTTTTAGACTAGGTGCAGACCACCGATTTTTAGTTGACCAATAGTTGGGCCCGATCTTAATTTGTGCGAAGAATCGGCCGATATCAAATCGGTGTAATGTGCGCACTTCCATACAATACAATATGTCCGTGATTAAAATCCCGACCCAACTATCGGCCAACTAAAAGTCGGTGGTCTGCGCCTAGGTTAATGATGGATACCACAATAGTCTATAGTCTGAGCCCCCGATTACGGTAACTTTTAACGTTTCCAATCCAGACGCGCTTCATCGATTCTGCGATACGATTGGTCAAAACAGTTGACGTACGCTGTTGAACGACCAATCGTATCGCAGAATCGAGAAGCGTGTCTGGATTGGAGACGTTAAAAATTACCGTAATCGGGGCTCTGGTCTGCAAGCACGTAGAATTTTGTCCAATGACCCCAAGCTACCCATCCTTATCGCTCGCGCGTAATTATGTTGCTGTCGCGCTTTAGCAGTAGCGGGATTCGATCGACCCCCGTTCCTCGGATCTTGCTTCGGCCAATCCGACACCGACGCCATTGGGATATTGTCGCTTAAATATAGATAGGTATCTGTTCGGTTTGGTTGGTTTGGGCTTGTTCCAAGTCCGCCTGGCTAGCTACTACCATCTTACCTAAGTCTGTCGCCATAACAACAATGTTAACAGCATTGTTGTGTTCCGGCAGTTAGAGGTAAGATAGCCAGTTCCTCCGTGGTTGAGGATTCCGGGTGAAGCTCGCTTCCACCTTCGGCCTGATCGTCACTTACCATCAGGTGAGATACAGGCCAAGAGCTTCCTCGTTGTGGATAAAAAAAAATCTTACCCTGGAGTGATGTTGTTGATGATTTTCTCATCCATGGTCTCGACCAGGTCGATGAGCTTGTCTCCAGGCATGATGCTGGTGTAAAACTTCTCGTCTATCGTGTTGAGGGCGCAGTTACTGGAAAAGAAGCAGAAATTATTAATATCCTTACTATTTTTTATGCATTTGACCAGGCATGTATTTTACCACAATCGCACCTGGTGTTAAGTGAGATACAGTCTAGAATATCTGCTCTATAGGTGCCTATTCATGATCGTTTTGAAAAAAGCCGGATTATAGTTAGGTAATGTTCAGGAAAGACAGCAGCAGCCAGCGAATTCCAGTCCCTAGCTGTTCGCATTATAAAAGAGTTATCGAAACGCAGAAGTAATTATGTCTGTCTGTTACGCTTCCACGTCTAAACCACTGAACTGATTTTGATACACAGTTAAGTCAAAGGACATAGGATAGTTTTTGCTCCTGTTTTTGAAACAGGGACGCGTGCGATAAGTTTTGCTGTGAATGACTTTCATACGAGCGAAGCCGCGGGCAAAAGCTAGTAATAAAAGAGGAACGAGACTAATCCCACCTCTCTTTCTCACTGCTGCAACTCCTGTTATGGCAAGGATCTGCAGCATGACCTAACCAGTGAAGGTTGAGTAGTTCCGGGGATAGATTAAATGAATATACGAGGAGTTCGAAATCGTTCATTGAGGAAGTTCTGCAGTGATTGTCCTGTGGCTGAAATTATATTGGATTCCGAGTATTACCTGTAAGCAGTAGAAATGTGGACAACTGCCTTCAGCTTGCCACACGCTCTGGCCAGCTGGAAGATCTCCCTGGTGCCCCTGACGTTGATTTCCACGGCCGTCTTCAAGGGCTCGTCGAACCTGACGGTCGCTGCTCCGTGGAAGATGAATTCCACCTGCAATTATCCAGGTTTTAGTTAATACGATGAGTCATCAATCAATCATTACCATCAGGTTATACAGGGTGTTAGGTAAATGGGTACATGAGCCGACACTAGCACATGTTAACATGGGCATATAAATGGCATGGTGAACTCAGAAATTTGATATCATCATTTTAATTTTTTTAATTGTCATACAAAATAATTTTTTTAAAATCCGATTTGTATGAAAATTAAAATAATTAAAATGAAGATATCAATTTTCTGTTCACCATACCATTTATATGACCATGTTAACATGGGCTAGTGTCGGCTCATATACCCATTTACCTAACACCCTGTATAGTCTCCACTTCAGGAGGGTCCACTTTGTTCACCTTGATCACCCAGGTGATCAAAGTAGACTCCAGGCGATACTTTAGTGTCCTTTGATCACCTATGGATAAATCACCTAGTTGATTAAAGTGGACTTCTAATCCACGGGTGATCAAAGGACACCAAAGTGTCGCATGGAGTCCATTTTGATCACCTGGGTGATCAAATCCAGGTAATCAAAGTGGAATAGACCTTCAGGAGCACGACCCTCTCTAAGTTACCAGAGGCAAATGGAGGATTGACCTACATTCCTCACATAGCCAGATGAGTTAGGGAGGCATGATTTTCGTATAATTATGCTTATGTTACAAGAGAGTCAAGCGGCAGCGGGGTTCGAACCCGCGTTCCTCGTATCTGGAGTCCGCCTATCCGACACCGATACTATGTGCTATTGTTACCTATAAGATAGATTGGACATGGCTGACAATAGTGATTGAATTCCTTGCGCTGCTTCTTCTCAGCACTGGCCCATTTATTGTCCTGAAGCAGTGGTAGGCCAGGGTTAATACTGGGACGTGTAAAAGTGTTGAGTTTTTTATGAGTTTTAATATTTAAACTTGAACTACTTACATCGTTCATAACTTTGAGCCTATCCTGCTCGTTCATGCCGAGGCCAATTTGACCCACGTCTCCTTCTACCACCACGATCTTCTGAATGAAGTTGGGCCTCTCTTTCCTTAGTTTATCGTAGAGCTGAAACAGAAAGATATTTAGGAATTTAGTTGAAGTTACAATCTTTGTTGCGAATTTTAAGAGCCGCAATAAATGACCTGAATGCTCTTCTATCAACAGGCAATCGTAAAACGGATAGGTACAGTCAGCGCCAAATAGTTCATGACACCCAAAGTAGCCAAAAAGTTCGCAACACGTCTTTGTTATATTGTCAACTTTTTGGCCACTTTGGGTGTCACGAACTATGTATTTGAAGCTGACTCTCCCACAAGTTTGGACAAAGGATGTATTTTGAATTCGAGTTACTTTGACGCCCCTATTCACAAACGATGCTTGCTTAAGTGAAGCAGCAAATCGAACACACAGCGTTGGATAGAGCTCTGTGATTAGTTCGTGTCCACGCGCACTGTGTAACCTCATAGTAACGTTTGTGAATACGGGCGTAAGACATTGTATGAAACTTACCACGTCATCAAATTGTTCCTGTATTCTTTTGGTGGTGTCCTTGTTCTTCTTTGGTCGCGCCAGCATGTACAGTTTCTTGATATCTGGACATGATCTGAGGAAGAAGGAGAAATTGTTTTAAAGTGTTTTTATCTCATAAAAATCAAAATCAAAAATATTTATTCAGTTTAGACCACAAGAGTGGCACTTATGAACGTCAAATATAGCAAACATTAAAAAGAAAAGGTAGCCCTTAATAATATGGGGCACTTTACACGTCACCTTATATTTTAGGCCCTACCAGCGCTTCGAGACAAACATATTATTATGGTAAGTGCTGAGAAGAAACGCCGGAACAAACTCAGTCACCACTTATTGCCAGGAATTATCTAACGGTAACAATAACCAAATTCAAGTACATCAAATATGTGCAGACTGAACTGACCACGCATCCTTGTCATCATTTTACGGCTCTATACCTAATAGCCACTTCCACTTTTTTATGCAGAACAAGGTAGGTATTTGACTGCAATCGCACCTGATGTTAAGTGAGATGCAGTCTAAGATGGTACATTATTAAATTTGCCCTAGTGACTCTCGCCTTGAAAAGGCGCGGATTAGTGTTCAGAAAAGACAGACAAGACTTTTCACGAAGATGTCGTAAAATGCGACTTATGGAGAAATATGTGAACATCAGGCCTCCCCAACCCGTCAGGCCAGCGTGGGAAGTGTAGCCTAAATCTTCCATTTGCCTCTGGTTACATTGAAAAGATTCGTGCTCCTGAAGTGGATACCAAATGACCTGATAGCGATGTATCCAGCGATCCAGATGATGCCAACGGGATCCTATTAAAATAACCTCGCTGTCTGTAAGCAGGCTGTCTCATGAACCGTAATAGGTAGATAGTTAAATTCAGAGATTATGCAAAACAACTCCTCCAATGATTTTCACAAAGGCCGGTTGCTAGCGGCCTGCATCCAGCGCCTTCCTGCTACCTCTATGAGGTCGCCATCATTGGGGGAGGCCTATGTTCAGCAGTGGACGTCCTATGGCTGAAATGATGATGATGATGATGATGCAAAACAGCTATAGTTAAAAACAAATAGAAAATAAGTAACTAATTGTATGGTAGTTTAAGCTCTAGATCCGATATCCGTCATCCAATTTCTTTATTAATTTTCTAGATCCGTATTGTGACGGATTCGGAACGGAATCGGACGTATTGTGAAACCGTTCTAACTCATTTTAAGTCTAATTAAGGAAAGAAATTATTAATTCTTTCCATGACATAGCAAATTAGTTAATTAATTAGTAATCATTTGATTACGTGTTTGTATTATTGTTATTTACATAGAAGTGACCTTAGGAAAGGCGCATATACAAACAAGACAGTTAACAGCATGTCAAACACTGTAGTATATTTTTTAAAGAATATTAGCAACTAGCGGACGTCGCGACTTCGTATGCGTGGACCCCGTTTAACCCCCTTCGTTCGTTTCAGCCGAAAGACGTCCACTGCTGGACAGAGGCCTCCCCCAAGGATTTCCAAAGACCGGTCCTGCGCCGCTCGCATCCAGGCACCTCTCGCGACCTTCACCAAATCGTTGGTCCACCTAGTGGGAGGACTGCCCACGCTACGTCTTCCGGCCACTTGAACACTTATCTCGTAATTTGAGGTCCTTTTCTAAAAAGTAAATAGATCATAAACCCATAGAACCAGTAATATGATGTCATTAGTACTGATGTTATAGTGTCAGGAGGCCATATTAATATGAGTAACCTACTATGACATAACTGACTCTTTTGACACTGCTGTACTATGACGTAAGAGCAGTATTTTGACCGGACGAGTCCCGTTATAGGTCCATAATCCGATGAAAGTTGTCTATCAGAAGCACTCCGGCGCACGTCCCAATGCCATCACAGTGCGCGACTTGAATGCTTAATAGGCGAGGTAGGGGTACTCAAAGTTTTGATGGCCTAGCCACTTCAAAATCAAAAATCGAAATCTTTTTTTTTAAATAAACAACTTGAAAAATTGTAACTGCCAGGTTTATCCATATCCAGTGTCTAAGTAGCTCAGTTGGAAGAGGCAAGCGCCCGGCAAGCGGAAGGTCGTAGGTTCGAGTCCCGCCTTAGGCAGTTAGATTTTTTCAAGTTGTTTATTTAACGTTTAGTGAAACGTGACCACTAGTGGCACTTATACTTTAAAATACAGTAAAAAAAAAAGGTAGCCCTTAAGGAGCACTTTACATGTCTCCTTGTCTTTTGGGCCCTACTAGCGCTTCGAAACATACATGCCTTTCTTCTCAGTAAGTGCTGAGAAGAAACGCCGGAGCAAACTTAGTCACCACTGGTTGTCATAACATGAAATGAAAAACAAGCTAAATAACAATATCAACATGTCATTTATCTATGTTGCAGATGATAACATCCAAATTAGTATTTAATGGTAATTTAATTAATTCCAATTCCTTCCTTCGTTAATCTACCAAAAATATTTTTAAAGTAGCGAACCGTCCCGTCTTCGCACGGATGCAATGCTGATAATTAGTAAATTATTACAGAACTAGCGGCCGCCCGCGACTTCGTACGAGTGGATCCCGTTTTACCCCCTTAGGGGTGGAGTTTCGTAAAATCCTTTTTTAGCAGATGCCTACGTTATAACATCTACCTGCATGCCAAATTTCAGCCCGATCCGTCCAGTGGTTTGGGCTGTGCGTTTATAGATCAACTAGCTTTCCGCCCGCGGCTTCGCGCGCGTGGACTACATTATCTACATATTTTACGGAACCCTATTTTTTTCCAAAATAAAATTTAGCCTATGTTACTCGTGGTCGTGGATAATGTAGCTTTCGAATGGTGAAAGAATTTTTAAAAACGGTCCAGTAGTTTTTGAGCCTATTCATTACAACCAAACAAACAAACAAAGTTTTCCACTTTATAATATTAGTGTAGATATGTCAGTCAGTCAGTCAGTCACCTTTGAGTTATATATTTAGATATCTGTCTACAAATGAATGTGGACTTCAGAAGGTAAAAATATTTACTCCCACGGGGTGCTTGTCTCAAAGTTTGAGAAACGATGATTTCCAGTTAGTATGCAGAAACAAATCCTGAGTAAGATTGATGTAGGAGGAATGCTCTACCAAAGGCTTGACCTTTTCCTTGAGTTTAGAATAAAATTTGAAACAAAACTCTTGTACAATTTTAGTTTTTCCTATTGTTGTTAGTTTAACAAATCAATACACGCAACGTAAGGACAACCTTGCTATTCTAACCTAAAGTCATTCGTTGATTTTAGCCAAATGACATCCACCGCTGGACAAACTGACAGGACAGGCTGACAATAGTGACTGAGTTTCTTGCGCTGCTTCTTCTCAGCACTGGCCCATTTATTGTCCCGAAGCAGTGGTAGGGGTGATACTGGGACGTGTAAAAGTGCTTCTTAAAAGCCTATTTGCAAAAATAAAAGATTTTTATGAGTTTTTTAAGGCCTCGCCAGGTACTACCCGCTTTGCACTGGAGGGAAGTCGAACCTTCGAACTCCTCTTATGTTCTTCTGATTAATTTCGTTGCGGGTCCAATGACAGTTTAACTTTCCCCCGGGACAAACTTGGCCTTCACTGGTTGGGTTGAGCGGTCAAGCTGTAGATCTGGATTACTAATGTTTGGCCAAAAAACGTTTCCCAAATTATCACATCGCAAACAACGTTTCGCAAATTTTCATTTGGCAAATTCTCATTTGGCAAAGCAACTTATTGCAAACTTTTAATTCGCAAATGTTTTTTTTGGCATATTATTGTTTAGCAAATTATTGGTTGGCAAAGTATGGTTTGCCAAATGTTTCATTAGGCAAAAATATTTCACGATAAACTATTTACAAAATAATTTGATTGGTGCATAGAATGGTATACAAATTAGCTTGTGGTTATTATTTTGCTTAGTGGGGAGTTAATATAAAATTTGTTCTACATTAATTTCCTTATTTCATTCTTTGTATCGAAATTTCCAAATGATTCATTAACAATAGAGGTGATTCTAGCGCTCGGCGGCCGCTGCCGCGGCACGCTTCGCTCGCCTTCGCGCATTAAGGGTCACTGTTCTAACCTAACCTAACCTACTATTTTCTGCAATACCTACTTTTTGCAACCATACTATTTTCTGCAATGTTTTACATAAAATTATTGTGAAAACCATGATAATGTGCCTTATGCTTTGATTTGTGGGTAACGGTGGGTAAGTAAGTATGTGAAGTGTCAATTTGACCAAACAAATTATTTGGGATATAATATTTGGCAACATAAAACATTTGCTAAATAAACATTTGCCAAGTAAAATTTGGCCAAATGATAATTTGACCAAATGAATTAGTTGCGAAAAGTACAGTTGCTAAAAGTTCATTTGGGAAATGAAACTTTGGCGATAAGTTGTTTGCGAAGTGAAATTTGGCGAAAAGTAATTTGGCCAAACGGAAGGATACCCCTGGCTACACATGTGTGGGAATAGTCCTGTACCATGGGCCAGATGGGCCTAGTAGTATTATCTTACATTTAACTTCGCTAGGTCCTACCCAAGTCTTAAACTAAAAGGTACCTACTTTTTACAGAGTTCAACGTATGATACAATACCGCAATTTATATGCAACGACACGCGCTGCATTGGTTTTCCTAAGATTATATCTTAATTCTTAACAAACGATTCAAATGAGCTACGCATTCGTATCATAAGTACCATCACTATATGTAGCAAGCGATGATGGAATTCTAAACAGTTATTACAGTCCCAGGTGGACAAAGTGGTAAAGAAATATCTTTACAGAATAGGGATGTTTCCTGGCTAGTGTTGCCAGGTCCAAAAACACAAAAGCCGGACTCTGTGCTTCATTTGGCCGGACATTTTACCCTAAAGGCCGGACATGTGATGGGGAGAGGGGTGCAATTAGTGTCATAGCTCGAGTGAGTACTGTCATCGTATCATCAGTTGCCCAACATCCTGATGCGTGCGCTTCATATTCTGTAGCGAGACTTTCGCCTGACGCGGCAGGCCAAATAAAAAGCCTAACAAAAGCTGGACAGGCCGGACAAGACAATATTTGGGCGGACAAGACCGTAAAAAGCCAAACATGTCCGGCTAAAGCCGGACGCCTGGCAACCCTATTCCTGGCTCAAAAAGCAAGAGTTTTAATTAGTCCGTCAGTTAACTTATCAAAAAATACTCTACACGTATTTTTCACTTTTTCAAACTAATGAAAATTTTAAGAGATAAAGCGCGCCAAAGTTCATAAGAAGAGGCACGTGACGTCAATGCGTGCATAAAAGTGCCGCACGTTGTGACGTCGTGCGGAACTTCAACGCACCATAACTATGTAATTATTTGTTAGATTGACAAATAAAAATATATGTGTCCAATATTTTTTGATATTAAACATGACGGACTAAAAAATTTTTTTTAGGAAACTAGCCTATTATAGGCGACTGAGTTTCTTTCGCCACTTCTTCTCAGCACCAGCCCATATGTTGTTCCGAACTGGTGGTAGGGCAAGCTATATTTGGGACGTATTAAGTGCCCTGGCAAGGGGCCTAAGTACTTTGACGTTGTATGGTCTCTGGACGGGTCACATAGCTATTAGAGCTGATGGATGAAGTATAGGCCTCCGAATAGGTAAACCGACGTCCTTAATTTCGAACGCCTCCTATGTTCTTCTGATTAATTTCGTTGCGGGTTCAATGACAGTTTAACTTCCCGCGAGACAAACTTGGCCTTCACTGGTTGGGTTATTGGCGGTCAAGCTGTAGATCCTGGCTACACGGAAGTTGCAGCGGTGGGAACTAGAGGTGGGAATAGTCCCGTCGTAGATGAACCGACAATCTGGTAAAGGTTGCGGGAAGCACCTGGATGCGGGCAGCACAGGACCGATAGTTGTAGAAATCTTTGAGGGAGGCTTTTGTCCAGCAGTGGACGTCATTTTGGCGTTATGTTTGTTGTTTTATTTCAAGGTATATAATGCACTCTTTCTCAGAGATAAAATAAACGCATGTGTATAAAGAAAAAGTCGTAAGTGCGTGGTACGAAGGTACTTATCCTATTTTGAAGGCTGACTAGAGCAAAAAAACATCTCAGAGTGCCCGATCAGAAAGATTAAAAACTTCCAACTTTTTCAATGCTAAAAAGAATAAAAAACATCCAAATACCTACTTGGCTACTTGGTTCCTGTACAAATATTTCGTCAAAATCAAATCAAATACGCATAATAAAAACTAATGTTTGATCGGTTTGTTCAAATATCAAAATTTGTTTACAGTGATATTAACATCCGTATTTGTAGAAGTTTAATTTCATACTGTCGAGTTTTTATATCAATTTTTAGTAGACAAAAACCACGCAAAATATCAATAAGTATTAGGTACTTTCAAACATTAAATAGTGTACATAGATAAATTGTTTTGCAAAACACTGACAAAGCAAAATTGAAGTTTATGGGACCTATTGGAATACCAATATTTATTACTAGATTTAATTATTTAAATTGAAATAGAGTTATAAACAATAAAATAAAAGCAATTAGCAATAAAGAGTGACATAAAATTGAGGTATGACAAATCAATAGAGTTATAATACCTACGCATTTGATTGATTTCAAAACATTATTTTCAACAATAAAACACTGCATCCTTCAGTTCAAATCACAATCATTTAGTCTCCACTGCAGGAGCACGACCCTCTAATTTACCAGCAAATGGAGGATTTGTCCTACACTCCCCACGCTGGCCAGACGGGTTGGGTAGGCCTGATGTTTGCATTATTCGTCTCTTAGTCGCTTACGACATCTCCGAGAAGAGTTTTAACAACAAAGATAGATGATTTCAAGTAAATTTTCACTAAAAATAATGTGTTCTTTTCAGCCAAATGACGTCCACTGCTGGGCAAAGGCCTCCCCAATTATTTCCACAACAACCGGTCCTGCACTGCCCGCATCCAGGGCTTCCCGCGACCTTCACCAGATCGTCGACCCACCTAGTGGGAGGCCTGCCTACTACAGATTTTTTGTCCAAAACAACGTGTGTGGCACTTTAAATTTAAAGACTTATGCAGTACGCACGCCATTTATACAAACAATTTCCGCCTATTTAGCATTTGATTTTTAGTGCAAAACGCATTGGCGGGCCTAAGATTGTTAGGCTGGTATTTCCAGATGTTGAACCTGCGTACTATATCTCATTGTTGGCACTACTCCTACGGAATACTAATGGGGCGGGCGTTTAAGCCATTTTCAACCTTAAGGCGGTTGTTTGTTTTGTAACAGGGCGTTGGACTTTTGAAAAATAGGATTGATATCCTGATGGGCAACAAAAGTATCCTTATTTGCAACTGTCCTCTTCCTGGGTTGTCTGAAAGAGATCGCTTCATAGCGATAAGGTTGCCTTTTTATTTTTTGTATGGATAGGTATGGTCTGGCACGGGAAGTGGAAGCCAAATTTTCCATCTAATTTGAACGAAATTAGAGCTCATGTTCCTGGACTGGACTGTTACTTTCAAACAAAATTAAGATCTAAATGAAGATGATGAAGATAGGTTAACAAAAATGTACAAAAACTTATAAAAATGGTTAAATATCCCGATGTAGTGGTAGGGTTAAAAGAGGACGTGTTAAAAGCGCTTTTTATAAGCTGGCCGCGACTCTAAGCCGCGACTTCATACGCGTGGACCCTGTTTTACCCCCTTGTCCACCGGAGTTTCGTAAAATCTGTTTTTAGCGGATGTCTACACCCTTTAAGGAACCTATCTGCCAAAGGACAATGGGCAAAATGGTACCCGGCTCCAATAGATATGTGTCTAGTATCGTTTGAAAGGTCTTACCAAGATGAACAACTTTTACTATGACCACCAGCCTCAGATCTGGTTGTGTACGAAGATATACATACTTTTTTGCAGAATGGTACCCGGCTCCAATAGTTATGTTTGTAGTGTCATTTGAAAGGTCTTACCAAGACGAACAACATTTACTATGGCCACCAGCCTCAGATCTGGTTGCGTTCGAAGATAAAGATACTTTTTGTGTAACCTAAGTAGGTATCATACAGTATGGAAGGCAGACGCGCTCGGGGCAGGGCACCGACGAGATGGTCGGACGCGGTGAGGCAAACGGTAGGCGGGAGTATGCATCGTGCGGTCTACACAGCTTATGACCGCAGTCTGTGGAGGAACACTATCTGTGGTCGCGATCCTCATCAGTGAGGGACGGAAGAAGAAGAAGAAGTATCATACGTGTCCATCGTATGGTACTTAGGTTATACCAGGCAGGAAGGGTTTACTGCTCCAGCATGCTTCCTTAACTCTATAATTATTGATGGGAATAATTGTGAAATAAATAGTTTTATTTAAAGAAGTACTACCCCCTTATTAATAAAAAGTTACACCTAGGAAGAACCTTGGATTAAAATGACATTTCCATACCAAATGATAGGGTGTAACTTTTATTAATAAAGGGGTTAAAGTTTTATTACTTGTTAAGGGTTTTATTATGGGTTGCTAAAGCGAATAAACCCACAAGACCCAATAAGTCCACCCACAAGATGGACCGACGACCTCATAAAGGTAGCGGGAAGGCGCTGGATGCAGGCCGCCACCAACCGAAATCATTGGGGGAGGCCTATGTTCAACTGGACGTCCTATGGCTAAAATGATCATGATGATGATGATGAAAGCGAATAAAGGGCTAATAGCTTGGGTAGTTCATCGTAGGTATAATCCTTTCCTTTTCAATGCTTCTTTTAGTTATATTAATAGATTGTAGTCATAATACATACTCGTATACATGGATGATTGTGTTATACTTTCATTATAAAACTTAGTGGAATTACTGCTTTCAAAACGTGAATTAGAACTGGCCCCATAGCAGACATTTTCCTACATCTAAAGGCCTTTTAAAATATATATTGGTTATGGCTATTGGAGCGGGTACCACTTTCCATACATTTGTGCCCATCATCCTTTCAAGTTTGTAGGTGTTACAGTTTGCCTATTTGCAGATGACTCTTATGACTTTATGAATTAAGAACCCTTTTATGAAGTCGGTTAAGACCGTATTAAACGACACGCTATGTGCGCACGCTTGTGCAATCGCGAAGGCTGCGCGTGCGACTTTGGACGTACGCAAACTGTTAATTAGTCGGACTAATTTAAATTGGACAAGGATTTGATGGACTTCTGACAATCTGACGTCATAACATTAATAAAAAAGTCTATGGCTAAGTGTTGCCACCTCAGATTTCATTAAGACGATAGTTCAAAAGGAAAATTCCGCGAGATTCCAGAAATTCGTACCTAAAAGACCACCAAATTCTGCTAAATTATTCAGTGCCAGATTAAAACTACTTGATGCCTACTGAAAAACCACTAAAAGACCATTCTGAAAAACCGCTAAAAACATCCAGAAAAATTAAAACGCTAGTTAATGAAAACAAGCCAAAGAAAACCCCAGTTCTGGTGGTACAACCGCCAAAGTGGCAACACTGAAGTATAATGGAGGAGGATTGGGCCAACACTCCCCACACCCACACTTTACAGATAGAATAGAATAGAAAAGTCCTTATTCGTCACAAAATAAACAACAGACTTAAAATATAGGTCATCATTTCATCATCATTTCAGCCATAGGACGTCCACTGCTGAACATAGGCCTCCCCCAATGCTTTCCATGTTGATCGATTGGTAGCGGTCTGCGTCCAGCGCTTCCCTGCTACCTTTACGATGTCGTCGGTCCACCTTGTAGGTGGACGTCCCACGCTGCGTTTTCCGGTACGCGGCCTCCATTCCAGAACCTTTCTGCCCCTCGGCCGTCAGTTCTGCGTACTATGTGCCCTGCCCATTGCCACTTCAGCTTGCTAATCCGTCGGGCTATGTCAGCGACTTTGGTTCGTTTACGGATCTCCTCATTTCTGATTCGATCTCGCAAAGAAACGTGGCCTCTCACTATAGGCCTTATACAGAAGCTCAAAGTTGCACAGCGTGCTATGGAGAGGGCTATGCTTGGTGTTTCTTTGCGAAAATATAGGTACAAAACTAAAAATCATAAAAACTTACCTCAACAATTTCTCCGAAAGTAGCTTTCCAAGAAATCCTGTGCCTCCAGTCAAGAAGACAGAAGATCCTGCGAACATTTTCTGGATCTGAGACTCTCCCATGGATTCTTTCTCTTCCACCATGTCCATGTATGTAATATCTCCCCCCTCCTTTGGATTTAGTAACTCCACGTTGGGGATGTCATACGTCATTTCTGAAAAAAAAATCAATTATTAAAATAAACTCATTTAAGGAATTTGAATTGGAATTTCAGGCACATGAGCCCATAGAGAGAGATAGAGAGATATCAACTATAGTCTGGTCCGTGAGCACGTAGAATTTTGTCCTATGACCCCTAGCTATACCATCCTTATCGCTCGCGCGTAATTATATTGCTGTCGCGATTGTGCGACTGGCACCCGCAGTGAGTGTGCGAGTTGCTAGCTTGGGGTCATTGGACAAAATTCTACGTGCTCACAGACCGGGCTTTAATGCACTCACGTCTGTATTCACAAACGATGCTTGCTTAAGTGAAGCAGCAAATCGAACGCACAGTGTTGAATAGAGCTCTGTAATTGGTTCGTGTGTTACCCTGTGCGTCCACGCACATTGTGAGACCTCATAGTAATATTTGTGAATACGGGCGTCAGTGTTTCTTTAGAAATTCACACACACAATGTAATCAAAATGTGCTCATTATCCACTGCGGTGTCAGTACTCAAGGTTCTAATAATCTTTAGTACTACGCAAGCAATGTTTACATTATGACATTACTGCTGTCATCATTTCACGAGCAATGTGTTCTGTGGGTCTAGACAAAGTGCAAATTATAATCGCAAACCAGTCGAAAAGTGGTCGAAAAGCCCCTTTTTTGTATGGAGTTTTGACGGATTCGATTTTCGATTCGATCAAAAAGTGCGTTTTGTCTAGGGGGGCTGTTTTTGGGCATATTGCTGCGACACTGGCCACGCCCCCTTGTCACATCTCCCTTTAGATTCTGTGATCTGTGCATGAGCCCTAAGTTTGACAACTTTGGATATCCTACAGATCTCATTTCATAGCAAAGTGGTTCAAATCAATCACGCGGTATCAAGATGGCCAATTTAAATTATCAAGCCACAGTAATGTACTATGTAAGTAATTCTAGATATTGCATTGAATTAGTTTCCTAATATTATGCAATTTCTGTTGTAAGTCGGCTAGATCTGCTCTAGTATTATTACATATTATTTTATACCACATCCATTACTAATAACATAAAATATGAGAGTGTAACTGTCTGTCTGTTACATTTAGCACCTTAAAATACACTGAATCAGTTTAAACGAATTTAGGTTAAGAGATAATAAAACAGACTAATGCACGCATCACTATTTCAAAAACCGGGATAAAAACTATCCTACGTTTTTCTTCTTAACAATTATTTAGGTAGTTATTTGGAAAGGTACCTACATCAATATTTAAATCTAAAACTTCCTCATAAATCACTCTTAAATCTATTCTATTAGCGAAACCCACATGAAAATCTGTTCAGGTAGTCGTGATAAGCTAACGGGACTATTCCCACCTCTCGTTCCCACCGCTGCAACTCCTGTGTAGCCAGGATCTACAGCTTGACCGCCAATAACCCAACCAGTGAAGGTCAAGTTTGTCCCGGGGGAAAGTTAAACTGTCATTGGACCCGCAACGAAATTAATTAGAAGAACATAGGAGGAGTTGTTTGTGGTGGACTTTGTTTTATAATATTAGTAAGACTCCAAGACTTTAAACCTAGCAATATTATTAACCACGAAAATGACTAACTAAACAAGTAACTTGTAACCAAAACTAGTTATTCAACTCATTTTAACGTTAATAATACCTGCTCTACGCCAAATAATATCTGTGTCAAGCGAAAATTTGAGGAAAAGTAGTCGGTTTAAGTAGTTCAATGCTTCTTTCTGTATTTAGGTAAAACGAGGTAAGGTCTATCTTACGCCCGTATTCACAAACATTACTGTGAGGTCTCACAGTGCGCGTGGACGGACAGGGTGACACACGAACCAATCACAGAGCTCTATTCAACGCTATGCGTTCGATTTGCTGCTTGACATGTAAGCATAGTTTACCAGAGGCAAATGGAGAATTTGACCTACACTTCTTATGTTAGCCAGATGTGTTTTAAGGCCTGTCATTTGTTCCTTAGTCGCATATGACTTTTAAAGAAATAGATTTTTTATAGATGATGGTCCCACCATACAATATTTTGTTGTAAGTATTTGACCACCAAAATATCCCTTTTTCAGATCAGTCGAGGTGTTTCCATGTATCTTTACTTTTCTTGCTCCCTCTTAGAATCAAACCCAATAAAGTGTCTACTTAGCTAAAGCTGTGTTAACTACTTAATGCTGCCGCGACACAAGCACAGCTTAGTGCAGCAGCCGCTAGATAAACAGACTGTAAATTTTTTGTTGGCAAATAAAATACTTTTACTTTTTTACTTTTAAAAACCACGCCATAACCGCAGAGAGCAGGCGGACAAGAGTCCTATGTCTGAGAGTCCTCCACCTGGATATAAGCTCCCCTGGCTTACGTAAGTCTTTAAATAGACTTCGGACGCAGGTCGGCCGTAGTAAGGACAATCTGTACCTCTAGTACGAAAAACTTTCGAGTTCGTTTCGTTTGCGTATTCAAAGTGTCATCGAAAAATTTTGTATGAAAAATTAAACAGCGCCCGCTATATTATAGCCGCCCTAAGGGGCGCTGTTTAAATTTTCATACAAAATTTTTCGATGACACTTTGAATACGCAAACGAAACGAACTCGAAAGTTTTTCGTACTAGAGGTACTGTTCAGGTGGGGATTCTTGGATGGCTCAAACTTGGAGTCCAAGTGAGGTTTTGTTCCCCAGTCGATGAAGCGCATGATGTCGTGCCTTGCGTGCCCAAACAACTGCACGCAGGAAGATTTAATGAATGCTACTGACAACGCCACTCTTGTGGCGGAGTTTTGGGCTGACACTGTGTAGGTTTGTTGTCGACAAGAAAGAAGCTTTGACTACTAGATTACATAGGTACAAGTCTACGAAACAAGTTGTGTAACACGTGACGATTATCATACTAGTTTGGAATATTGGTTATAAATTATGCTGAGGATCCACTTCGCAATAGTGTGTGGTGCTACGGCGGGACCAGTTTCTTAATATTAATATCAACAGCGGATATCATTAATTTACATTTTTTATACTAAGCTAGGTTTTGCCCGCGGCTTCGCCCGCGTGAAATTTTGCCTCATCACAGAAAAACATAATCGCGCGCGTCCCTTTTTCAAAAACCGGGATAAAAACTATCCCTGATGTCCCTTTCCGGAAGTGGAAACTATCTTATGCCATCATCAAAATCGGTTTAGTGGTTTAAGCGTGAAAGCGTCACAGACAGACACAGTTTCGTTTACTTATGCAAGCAAAATACGAGTTTTTAAATTAATTTGTCTATAATTTAGAAACTAATTGGTTTTTTACTACTTAGCTATAAGATTCCCTAGAAGTGTAAATAATTTCAAAACACTTCCTCAGTCAAATTTATTTTTTTACATAATAAAACAAAGTTTAAAATCCATCTATGAAATTATACTCAGATAGGTGAACGTGCTGTCTGTACAGTCAGCTTCAAATAGTTCTTGACACCCAAAGTAGCCAAAAAGTTCATAAGTCACAACACGTCTTTGTAACAATTTTAATAAAATAAATTAAAAAATATATTTTTTCAGACAAATCAGTTCATATTTTGGTTACTAACAATGTTCTTAGAAATATGTTAGTAGTACAGCATGGGTTTGACAAAACTATAATTATATTGACTCTTTTAATATGGACGTTTTATTGCTTTACATGCCTAATGTGTAAGTCAACAAAGCGACCATAAATGGCTGAGTCAGGCCTTACAGCAATCATTTCCAGGATTCCATTCCCACTTGTCCTCAGTCTTTGTAACACAGACGCAGTTAATTGATAAGGTTGTGTTGTCACCATTTTGGCCACTTGGTGTCACAAACTATTTGACGCTGACTGTATCACAATCCTCTTAACATTAAACATTTAAAGCCTACAAGATCCTAAAATTACCATAAACTCACGTTTTACGTACGTACTATGAGATTTGCATACATAACTGGTTGGATTCACGTGAACAGTCCTAAGCTAACATTTTAAAGTTTGTACAAATATTTATCAGTAAAAATGGTTACGTCATTGGACCCTTGAGCTTGTGTTTCGATCGCGGATTTCGCAGGATAAAATTTTTATCTATCATAGAAAATCTTTAACGCCACTCGATAACAAATCTTATCTTGATTATAATAATAATAATAATAATAAATCTTTGGACAATTTCACACAGCGCCAGCTAGCCCCAAAGTAAGCAACTTAATGCTTGTGTTATGGGTGCTAGTTTAACGGATATACTACTTATATACTTTTTTTTTAAATACATACATATTATACATAGTCACACCCAGACCCGTCACAGAAATTAAAATTCATCATTTCAATTTCTGCCCGGCCGGGAATCGAACCTGGGACCTCTCGGCATAGTAGGTAGTACACCAAACGGCCGACTGATTGAAACCTTCGGTCAACAATACCAACTAAATATCAGCTCAGTGTAAAAATTACGTTTCAGGAAATAAGAGCGCACTTGAGAAGTGACTTCTTATCATTTAATTAGATGGGAATTTTAAAGACTATAAATTACATTAAATTGATGCATGACGAAAAAAGATATTAATTTATTTCCCAAAACGTAATTTTTGCGCTAACGCGAGTTGGTATTGTTGATCGAAGATTTAAATGCATGAAATGAGAAAAAAGAGAGAAATTGCAGAATCCAAACACAAACTTTAGATGCTTTTTCACCCCTTTAAGAGTTTAATTTTCTTATTAAAATTATCATACTCGTATTAGTTAGTTAACATGTTGATAGTAAACAAAATGAAACAGATCGTGAGTCGTAGAGTTTGTTCACTGTTGTGTATATTTATTTATTTGATCACCAACAAAAATGAAAATGAAAACAAAAGAAAAATGCGTTACAAATTTCATAGTACATTAATATGTATCTAATAATCCCTAATTTCTCTATCCTTTTATTCGTTATCTTGGTACCACCGTTTTTTCTTTCTTTCAAACATTGCCAAAAAATTCACACGATTTAATTTCTCTTATTAATCCCCAACAAG